CCCCAAAACCCCAAAACCCCAAAACCCCATTAGACTCAAAATTGAGAAGTTTTGAGATTTTTTATGAAATCAAGAATAATATAAATAAATTCTTTTATCAGTAATATATTTTAGTTATAATAATCAAATATTTCTGATCATAGTTTCTAAATGTAATCATTATGTTTCTCTAGAAGATTGTTTGGCTGAGAGAATATTATCTTAATCATTGCTTAGTGGTAATTCTTCTTTTGAATATTAAGAGGTGTGTTAGGGATGCTATTCTTGAAGCTCATTTTATTCAAAGATATTTGAATGCTTCATAGGGCTTGGAACTTCAGAATTCATGAAGCCTACAATATCATTATTGCTTCTTTTCTTATGAGAGCCTGCACTACTGATGCCTCCAGCTAAAAGTGCAGATGATCCATATCTATCTTAAGATACTTTTCTAGATTCATTATGTCTAGAGTCATTTAATCTTGCCTTTGATATCTCACTACTCTAGCCAATAGCCTTGCTATTCATTATCTTGTTGAATGAACTATCCATATTACCATTATTCATTGCTAAGAAAGTATTATTGTTATAGGAAGTTGTTGTATTGGTCATCTCAACTCCAGATTTAAAATTCATTTATCCTGTAACTCCTTTCTTCATAAAATCATTCATATCTTCATTTTACTTAAACTAGTTTACTCCAACTTGTGATTATCTTACTGATTGATAACCTTTTCCAAATGTGATTTAGGCTTATTAACCTTTGATTCCAAATCTTTAGCTGTTTATCATATTGCCATGTAATTGCTTATTTTAAGACATGTCAGTAAGTTTACTTTGGCTTTGAGAATCATTTATACTCTAGCCTCTCTTATGAGCAGATTATTTAGCCCCAGGCTTGGATGTAGTGCTAATATCTTAGTAGTTACCTACAGTGGCTCCTCCTAAGAATGATTTTTCCATTGATCCTTATATCATTTATGATTCATTTTTAGCAACAGATGAATGTCTTGTATTTGAGCCTGTAGTTGTGCCATATTTACTTGTTTAGATGTTGTTGAGCATTTTATTGTAATTAACGTTTGGCATTAGCTTTGGTAGCTAGAAAGAATTATCATGACTCTATTGTTTTGAATTTTGTTGTTCTAATTCCTAAGTATATTCTTACTAGCTTTGCATAGATTAGGATAGGTTTACTAACCTAGTTCTCATCTAATCATTCTCATTTTTAAGATTATTACAAATCTCAACTAGCTCCTTACATTTAGTTTTCCAGACCTCAGCCATAGATCCTTCATTTTTCTCAAGCATTCTCAATTCCATTCTTAAGCCTTCTAATCTTTCTAGCACATCTCTTTTTAATACTAATTCTTTCTAGTATTATCCCTTAATATTAAAGACTTCATTATCTTTTCTCTTTTCTATAGCATGTAGTCTTTGATCGAAGTTCTTCTCTAAATCTTTCAATTTCATTATTTCCTTCTCTTTGCTACCCAAAGTGTCAATCAACTTTTCAAGGTTGATATTCTCAAGCACTTCAAATTTTCTAACCTTTCCTTCAAGCTCCTCTAATCTTTGAGATTTATTGGTTTTGTACTGATTAAGTCTAATTCTGTCGCTCTCTGATCTTCTTAAATCATCTTTTAGCTTTTCAATAACCTTTTCACTAGCTGCTAATGATTATTAAGTAAACACTAGTTCTTGTTTTAGTACCTTTTCTCTCTTCTCGGCTTCTGCTAATTACTCCCATAGACATGCATTGCTAGTTTGCTGCTTCTTTAGAGTAAAGATTTCTTTTTCGTATTTATCGATAGTAAGAACTTCCTTTGTCTTCCAAAAGATTCTTAACTTTCTCATGATATCCCACATTTGAGCTAATTCTGCTCTTGCTTCTCGTTCAGTCATCTCATTCAATTCTTGTAAAGTTGGGAAATTGCTAGCCCTAGAAGCAGGATTTTCAACTATCTCTGTTGATTAGAACTTGACTCTATTCTGAAGTTTGCCATCTCTATTTGAATTTGAAGTTGTGGAGATATTTTTGAATTCTTCAGCCTTTTTCTTCAAAATTTTTTCAATTTTATATTGTTCTTGAGCTAAGTCAGCTTTTACTTTAGTCGTGACATCATTCTTGAAGTCTTTGAATCTATTTACAGAGGTGTCTAAATCTCTCATGTTTCTTCTGAGTGTTTCGGCAAATTCTGCTCTGATATTTGATCTCAGCTCTCTTTCCATTGCAAAAATATTATCCTTAAATAATCTGAGTTGTCTGTTAACCAAATCTAGTTCATATATGAGTTAGTTACCCTTCTCATACATTTTGGAATTGATAAGCTTATCAAGATTATCTCTTGTGTTGCTTATTCTTTCTTCTAGATTTTCAATTTTCCTGTCTTTGACGTATAGCAGAGTCAAGTAATGCTATTCTTTCTTAGATAAGTCTTCACTTCTAGATCTCATTTCTCTCTCTGAATATTTAATCAGACCTCTACACAATATTTAAATGCATTCATTGAAGTCTTTAATTGTAAATACCATGCCAGGACCACTAGTAAGAGTCTCAACCTCAGTTCCTCTGTTTCTAAGTTTAGTAATGAATTTTTGGACCTCAGCTACTTTTGTAACCATATCTAGATGACTATTTTAATCAACAACTGAGTAGCAAGTGCTTGCAAATTACTAGAAAGGATGGATATGCATATCAATCATCTTTGAGTTCATTGAAAAGCAATTTGCTAAAGCAGAGGCCTCCTAATCTATAGCACTGATAGCTGATTTAACTATTTGTCTTTCAATTTCATTAGATAGCACTATTGTCTCTGCTTTACATGATTAGACTTGATCAACCAAGACTTAGATTTGCATGTTAATCAATTACTAATTCAATAGCATAGTTTACTCAGCTTGCTTGTTTCTTTCTTTGCCTTAAAGTTCCAGACTCTGTTAAGTCTTCTACTGTTATTATTACTAATGCTATTGCTATGCATGACCATAGACGCTTGGTAGCTAATCTTTTTGATACATAATTTTCCAAAAAATATCATTCTTATACTGTTGTAGATAGCTTTGATATATTTTAGTGTCTGTTGGTAATGTGGAATTGGCAAGCCAGCATATCAAGGCATTTTTAAGCTGCTTTGCTTGAATGAGTTCACCTAAGAATTTCTTAACTTTTTTAAGGCTTTGTACATTCATTGCTTCTTCATTTTCAATGACTTCTTGATGAATAATTTCAAGATAGTCCTTAAAGAATCCCTTCATACTGTGAACTGACGAATTCACGTATGCTCTCTCAGTTTCACTTAGGTTTATCAACCCTGCTTCAAGCGAAGGATATGCTCTAGGATAATTAGGAATCTACCCTACAAATTAAGTTGCTTTCATTTTTTGGTTAACATAGATGCCTTCGAATAAAGTTATCTATGCTGGACTCATAGCATGTTCATTAACTATTGGCATTAAGCAAGTGTTAAAATCTGAGTATTCCTCGTGGTTCCCATAGTAATGAAAGATGTTGCTAGATTCTAAAGAGAAATGGTCTGGTCGAGTCAAAGATGCATTTGAATGGAAAGAGTTGTATCTATATGATATTTTGACGTGATCTCTCTTAATTAGTCGTTACTAGAACTCACTGATAATTCTAACTTCTTTTGATCCTCCTTTTGAATGATAAGAATCAATAAGTTTATCCATTGTGTGAACTAAGAAGTAGTACCTGAATTCATGGTATGAGTAAAGAAATTCAAGCGCCCTTTATCTTGGTATTATCACTGAACTTTAACTTATTTTATCTGGTGCTTTATGATGAATGAAATGCTACATCTTCTTGATCACTAAGTTTAGCATATTTGAAAGATTTATCACATCGTCTGAAAGATTCACTCTCGCTCTTTTCTCAGCTACTATCTTATTAAGGATTTTCTCAGAGAGTCTCTCTTTATCAGTATCTGCCTTCATTGATTTTATCATTCCTTCAGTCTCAGTATCCAAATTCCAAAAAGGTAGACCATTGAAAACATGCTGTTCCATACTCAGGGAATCAACTAGGTTAGAAGCTAGTTTTGTAATAAAGTACTTAATATGAAATATTCTCTCAATCATACAATAGTAAGAAAATAGTTGAGAGTAAACAGTGACAGAGTAGTCATACGAATCTTTGAAGTCTACATATCTCAAGCTGATACGGTCCTTTTCATAGTCATCTTTAGGGTATTCAGATGCTAAGGGCCTGAATTTAGGAAGCATTTTCTTTATACTTAACTCTACATCATTATCATCTGGAACTCCAGAGAAATCAAAACTTGGATGCTTGGTATTAATAGCTGATAACTCCTCGTATGTAATAGCTTCACACTTCATCAAACTGATTGTTGATGGTATCATATAGTAGTTCTAGATCTCTAGATTTTCTGTTGAAAAGGCAAGATTACTTGAGTATGGATCTTTGGAAAAACTGCTCTACTGATTTTCTTAATAGGAAGGATTATAAGCACAAAAGAAATTCTCAAAGAAATCATTCTACTCGTATTTGAAGATTTAGGGCTTGTCTATTCCTCCTGAACTATGTCCCAGACTTAATATAGATTCATCTATATTGAAAACCTGACTAAGAGTTCTGAGTTTTTAGCATGCAGCTACTGCTTGGATCTTCATTGAATCATGATATGCTTCCTTCAATACCTCTTTGCAGTAGGAATGTACTAATTTCAACTTATAGGCTCTCAAGACTCTTAGACTACATTCAACTTTTCCAAATGTAGAAGCCACTGATGTCAAAAACACTGAGAATTTTTTGCTGACAGTATTCCTCAATTTAGCTTTCCTAGTACCAATATAGTAAAATACTGGTGCTGCTTCATTTACCAAGTTTGATTAAAATTTCTATCTCTCTCTTTGATAGCTTTCTAAATTAAACCCATCTCCTGTCTTTGATATCAAACTTGGAAGCTTTACTATCATGTTTGGAAGAGCAAAGCCTTTTTTAGCTAATTCAAGTTCACTTAAAGCTCTCATATGAGTGTCAATGAGTAGCTGATTCATTCTGACTCCAATTATAAGCAACTGCTTTTACATGAGTTAGTAATGCAAAATAGCCCTCAACTCCTCTAAACCACTATTGCACATCATCATTTTGATGGCATCAGAACTCCTGAAATTCAAGTTAGATTTAAGTAATTGGTCAAACTCTGAAATTGCCAAATCAAAGTCTATCAACTTAGCAGGACCATCGTCGATATAATTGATTTTACTTTGATCTATCAAATAGTTATCAAAGTTTATCTAATCTGAGTAGATGACCTTGAAATTTTACCTATTTACCATTTTAGATTAATTTTCATAAACTTCTTAAAGAAGCATTGATTCACTCACTGCGAATAGCAATTCCTGTCTAAGTCTCAGCAATTCTACAGTGTTACAATAGATTTGTAGCATTGGTGGAATATTTATTTTTCTCATTAGTTCTTTAAGCTGTGGGAAAAATCTCTAATAGCTGCCTGCTGATGGTCTCGCATGATTTTCAGCTATCTTAAGCGAGACATCCATATCCTCTCTTAGCAGGAGAGGTGCTTTTAAATAAGGGTTTTGTTCTTTAGATTATTAGGGATAGTCGAAGAAGTTTATAGTTTCTACATCAAGCTTGCTTATTAAAAATGGGTTAATATTTGGCTTTAAGCACTTTGCTAAGTGTGATACCATGTCTTTAGCGTAAAAAGTAAGCTTATCAGCATTTCCCACTATTGTTTCATCCTCTATATACTCTGCTCCTTTATATTCTTTGAGATCATCAGCTAAGAATGCTTTACATTTTTGATACTCAACAAGACTTCTCTCTAGAATTTTAGTCTCAATTAAAGTGGCAAGTGATGGATCGTGAGGCTTCAAGACTTCATTTAGTTCAACATAGATCGATTGAATGGTAGCATAAAATTTTGTGCAGAAATTCAAGGAGTCGAAAAAATCAAGGACATTTATTGGAATATTCCACTCTGAAAATTTGTAAAGACAGAGCTTTTAAGATGCTTATGCTGAGAGATAAAGGTGCTAGTCTGGATAGCCTTCATATACTCTGATGAAATTCGCATTCTCATTCATTACTTCTAGAATTATTTCATCCTTTTCCTTGTATTGCATATAGAGACTTTCCACTGTTATTGGAGGTAAACCCAGTACAGCAGCAAAACCTCCTTGAAGTTCTTCATTTTACGGGGGACCTGGATTTTTGTTAGTATTACTACCTGGCTCTTACTATACTTGAAACTTACTACCATATTTATTTTCGTTGACTTTATTTAAGAATCTTTTGGTAGCAGATGAATCTTTATCATCATCCTTTTGATCTGATGCTTGAGATGGATTCATGTCTGTAATGTGGGGATTCAAATCCTCATCAACATTTATTTTTTCTTCTACTTTCATTCCATTCATGATATTGATGGTAGCTTTTCTCTTTTTAAGTTCCTCAAAGAAGTCTTCAGCATCTGAATAGGTCCATTTCCCCTTTATCTGATCATTTGCTATTTTATAGGTAAGATCTAAGTAGGCATGCACTCTTTTGTTTTCCTCTTTTTCTATCAGCATCTAGTTCTTGATAATTACTTATAGAAGTTCAGTGTGTTTATCTAAGCAATTAATTTCAGCTTGATAGGAATCTCTAAAATATGTTGAGTTGAGATTAAGCCTTGGTCTTAAAGACATTAAATCTATAATGATTTGCATCAATCTTTACTATTCCAAAGGTTCTGATATATGCTCATAGCACTCCATATATGTTTGAATAAGTTAAACCTTTTTGAACTGAAAATGCTATTCCATTTCAAGCAGATCTTCCATTAAGGAGAGTCTATCAATTAGTGGATAAGGCTTTTCATTTTCAGTGTTAATAAGGATTTCATGTTTAGCAATGTAAAAACTTCCAATCTTGAGAATTTCCTCCTCTAAATCCTTCATATCTTAGAATGAGCAATCATACATTATGTACAAACCAAAATCATCCTTAACAAATACTTCTCTATTCTTGGCATCAACCTCAATGTGATCTACTCTCCCAAGTAATTTAACTCCCTCGTCAGTAGCATGCTTTATTGATCCGATTCTTTCCAGCTCTACATTATAAGGCTAAAATTCTATAGGCTCTCCAAAAGTCGCATGAAATCTTGGTATTGAAGGGCAAGTAGAGAACACTTTGTTATTAAATTTCCCTTTGAACTTATATTTCTTCATATCTACCAAAGAGTTTTCTGTTTTAATAACACCATCTTCAAATATACTGAATTGCTTTTCCTTTTCAATATCATTTTCAGCTATTTTGGAAAACATTGAGGGTTTTTCATCTTTTGACATGTTGTTGACACTATTAACAATTTTGGAAGGGATATTATTGCCTAGCTCTTACGAGTTTAGATTCTTGAAGTAAGAAGCGTTTGCGTTAATTTGGGAATTCTTATCAGCTTCTGTAGCAGGTATGATAGGTTAAACTAGATCACCAAGTATTCTTTCTCTTGTTGCAAATTCTCTTAAATCAAGCATCATTCTCTTTTGAATTGCTCTGAAATAGTTCATGATGTAGAGTATCTTGGTTTTGTAATCTCTACTTTTCATATGTCTCAATATATAGTAAGCATGAATCATATGCTAAGGAAGATATCTTAAGCTATTTATGCTTACGTTAGGAAGCTCCTTCATATTGTCCTTTTAATCCTATTAAATGTCACCTTTGAGTGCTGAAGTGAAATGATCTCTGATATTTTGAGTATCATCATGCATTGATGGCTTTTCAGGATGGTGCTCTTAATTCTTTTTCATGTTAGCTGATTACTATCCTGATGCTGACTTCTTTTTCTTATTCTTTGAGTTATTAATAAATTTATCTTTCTATTAAGCTTAGTGAAGTCTAGCGGTTTCTTCGAGAATTCGATTGACTGTAGCCAAGTCATTCACATCCAAAAAGTTTAGAGCTGATCTCAATAGAGAGTCAATAGGATTATTGATAGATAAGAATGCAGCTTACTTTTGAATGTGTGCAGGTATCTAAGGCTGCATCACTCCACAATAATCTATCCAATAAGCACAAGATTTAAGTCTTAAGACCTTAATGCTTCTAAATCCTTCGTCTATATTCAACGAATCTTAACTTGGTATGTTATTTTTAGTGGTTGAGATATCTTTAAAAATGTTTGTGTCAATCTTGACCATATTTTGTAAGTTTCTCTTCTAGATTGAGTTTTGGTCCTTTTCCTCGCCAGCAAAAGCATCATACAATGAGAATTAACTCTTAATGATCTGTCTTTAGAAATAGGTAGGAAAGAAAATAGTTATCTAATAAGCGAACGAATAACCTTAGTCCAGCTCGATATCTCCATAAATGCCGTACTCCAAAGATTTATCGAGAATGTGAAGTTTGAGCTCAATAGAATTCTCTATCATTGAAGGGGCCATATCATGGTCATTCTTAATAGAGTTCAACAGACTATCAGCTTTGTTTTAATTTTAAGCTTTTTGCTTGCTAACATGATAGTTCTCTATAATAAGTTCAAGTTCTTCCTTCAGATCTTATGAATTCTTCGGTATTGTCTACTCTCCTCTCTACAGAACTCTCTTAGCAAAATCTCTATTAAGATTATTAGAAGATATTATTACTCTTATTTTTTGAGATTTAATTCTTTAATCTTATTATAGCCTTCGACGGCATCCTGGAAAATTTCAAATCTCTTATATAATGGCATCCACTTAAGTCTAGCCAAATATTTGCTAACTAGTTTTTAGATTTTTTGCTCGTATGTTACAGTTCTCAAATATACTTCAATATCATCTCTTCTTAATGAGCTTATTGGTTCCTGATAAGTAATAAGATTTAAAAAAAATATTTACGAGATCAGTATTTTCAACATATAGACTCCCACCCTCTTTTGCCTTGGTATTAGGTCTTTAGACATTTAATGCTGCATCATAATCATCATCACCTTCTAGTCTATCGCATCTATTCATTGCATTTTCCATTTCATATTCCATCTTTCCATACTTGAAAGTAGCTTCATGGCCTATTCTCTCCATATATTCTGTTGTCAAAGCGTGATGAGCCCATCTTAATAGCACTTTGTATTTTTTGTGCTACAAGGAGTAATGCTTTCTCTTATAAAAAGAGGCAAGTGCTTTTCTTGTCAGAGGAGGTTAAGATCTATCCTAAATAGTCTCAATTATTTATTTATGAAGTTCGTCTCCCATATAAGTGATAGGCTAAGGATTAGGGATGGCTGTAATCTTTTTTAGAAGTTTCTCTCTGAAAACTCTCTGCTTTTCTGGATCCTATAGCAGGAATGTCTCAGGCTTGAAGTAAAATATTCTTTTCTCTCCCTTCTCTGTGAAAATACTGTTATTCTATGTAAATTACCTATCTATTTAATATCAATGAGACACCGATGAACTAAATCCTTGTAGTTCATGTAAACATCTCTAAGCTTTTCCTGGCACTAGTCCAGGGTTTCATCTTAAGGTTTTGTAGAAGACTGTTACTATTTAGCTTGCTGGTCCTTTTTCATCTTTATTCTTAAAATTAATTTAAATAAACCTACCTATCAATCAATTTATATGAAATGTTTAAAACAATAATCACTCTCTGGGGTTTTGGGGTTTTGGGGTTTTGGGGT